AAAAAAATGAAACAAAGAAAGAAAAGAAGATAAAATAGGCGACTCGGCCCGAATCGAATATATTCGGATTGGGTCGATTTTTGTTAGAAGATGGGTTGGGTTAGTTTTAGAATAGCTCAAAACCAAGATCTTCAAGTCGGGGTCAAGTATGTGCCAAACCGACCCATTGCCCAACCCTAGTCACGGAGAATCTGTTTAAATTTGCTCAGTATGAATGTAATTGTTCGTGGAAGATCTTGTAACTATAATGTTATCTTTTCAAGCCAAGATTTTGAGGGTGTAGGTTTGTATATGTCCATAATTGTGATCAACAAGTTTTATTCTTATTGAGAATTTATGTTTATCTATTTTCTTTATTTCGATGGGTTAGTTGATAGTTGATTATATGTTTGTGTTTGTTGAGATTTCTTGTGAATGTTATCAGCCTTGTTCACAAATAAATCAAATTTATGTATCAAAATTCATCTGCTTGGGCATATTTATGAGGTAATTTATGTTCAACTTCATATGTCATTAAACAAAAGTCTTTAGATCTCAATGTTGTTGTTCATTTATGAATATTGTGCACGTGTCAGGTCTTTAATATAAAAACAAATTTATCGTACATGTGATAACCATGTTGGAGAGAATAAATAAATTACCTTGTCTAAGAGTTTATATTATAAATAGGCTGGTTAGAATTTCTTATGATTCTAGTGTTTACTGTGTTCGGTTCAAAATATAATACTGCTCTTGATGCGGATGGTCGTGCATAAAAATCAATACTAAAAAATCCATATGTATAGAGTCAATAATTATAAAAATACGTCGCGTAGACAATAAATTTAGGAATAACAATAGGGGCCATGTTCAAAGTGAGAACCACATTCCCTTAGCAGGGTGGGGTGCGCTTAGTGCTTTTGAAATTGCATCGACGCTTGGTTTTTTATTAGTCATTTGTGCTATTTTTTTATTCTTCGAATAATCAAGTTAAAAAGGACAATTCGAGATGGGGACTATGATACGTGTCTCTATGTTGTCCCTGATTTGGGGGTTGATCAAGTTAAAATTTATTTTCAAATAAAACAATAAAACATTTAATTAAACCCCTGTCGAGGCAGTCCTTTCATTTATCGTATGTACGTAATTACACTTCAAGTAATGTAAAGTACATATAAACTATGTTAAGATAGAAACCCAAATAGTGATGTAATTTTCTATCTTAAATTTACAATAGTGACAATTAATTTATATTAGAATATGATGTAATTTTCTATATTTCACTTTAGAGTCGATAAGTAAATGAATTTGTTTAAGCAATTTTTTCCTATTCCTCCATTGCGAAAATTGTTTGGAAACATTTCAAAAGGCCAACATGAAATTTCGGGCGGGGAAAGTGAACCATATGCATTTTTCAAAAAAATAAAGTTTTGGGCACAAAAATATTCGCTCTTAACTCAGTTTCCATAGGTCCAATTCAGATTACGCGGATCAAGGCCAAACAATTCTACACCATCGATTACATTGAAATCCAACGGTACTCGTTACTCCATCCTTTCAATCCAAAATCCAGCGGCACCACACTCTTACTATACCAGCGCCATTATATATAACCAAACTTCGTTTATCTCTAATCACCATCTCCGATTGAATCGCCTGATCCCTTCGCCGATTCCCATTTGCCCCCAAATTCATATTTGAGTATTCTTAATCGCTGAATTCTAACCTAATTCATGGAGGCCGCTGCAACAAAAGTGAAGAAGGGTGCTGGAGGTAGGAAGGGCGGTGGCCCGAAGAAGAAGCCGGTGTCCCGTTCTGTCAAAGCCGGTCTTCAGTTCCCGGTCGGTAGAATTGGACGTTACTTGAAAAAGGGTCGCTATGCCCAGAGGGTTGGTACTGGAGCTCCGGTTTACATGGCCGCCGTTCTTGAATATCTTGCTGCTGAGGTAACGTTCGTTGTTCAGATCTGTATTTTTGTGTATTAAAATCATTTCAACTAATATTTTGTGATCTGGGTTTATGTTTTGATCATTGATATTTATGCATTCCTTTGGATTAATGTTGAAAACATGAAATCATGTATATGTAGATTTGATACACACGAATTGAATGTTCTAATTAAAATCCAATTTTCAAGCAATATTTTCCTTGCTCGCGTTCAATAAATGCGGATACATAACTCAATAAAGAATTGAAATGTGATCTTGTTTGGTCCTGTGAATTGATCATTCCCAATTGCATATTTGTTCTAGGTTTTGGAGTTGGCTGGAAATGCAGCTCGGGACAACAAGAGGAACAGAATTATCCCAAGGCAAGTGTTATTAGCTGTGAGGAATGATGAAGCGATTGGAAAACTGTTGCAAGGAGTGACCATTGCTCATGGTGGAGTGCTTCCGAACATTAACCCAATATTGTTGCCAAAGAAGACTGGTGCAGACAAAGAACCAAAATCACCATCAAAGGCTACCAAATCCCCCAAGAAGGCTGCTGCTTAGATAAAACTTTTATTATGTATTTAGCTTAGAAAAATTGGGTTGGATAGAAAGTTAAGATTGTAATATGTTGTCCTTTTTCTTTGAATCCATGAATGAAAAGTAAAATCTCTTGTTTTAGTTTTTGAATTTTTTCTTGTTTCTTTTGGTTGATTTGAGGGTTAAATTCATTCA